GCGGACATACTCTATGCAGTCATTCTTCATCCCTGGCCAGGTATACGCACGCATCAGGTTGGCTAATGTCTTTTGCCAACCGAAATGCCCTTCAGTATCGTGACATTCCCCTAAAACCAAACTGCGGATCTCTTCGCTGTTGGGAACGCACAGGCGGTCAAACACATAAGTCTTCTCAAACAACAACCCGTCTGTAGTGCGGTAATCTGGTTYAGTCTCTGGGGCCTCTCTAACTCTTTTTAGGAGGTCGCTATAGATAGGGTCCTGCGCATATGCTTGCCTCACCTTCTCCTGCAGATCTCTCCCTATATCCAGATAGTGTACTACAACTCCAAAGTAGTCTGATCTCCTACTCAAAGCATCTGCAACTACGTTGTACTTGCCCTTCACTGGCTTGAGCTCGAAGTCGAATTGGTCTATCTCTGCGGCCCACCTAGTCAACTTAGGTGTCATCTTGGCCTGAGTCTTTAACCATCTAAGCGTTTCGTGGTYCGAATACACTTTGAAGTGCCTCCCAAGCAGATAGTGCTTCCAATGGTCTAAAGCCTGCCTGAGAGCGTAGAGTTCTCTCTCGTACGTGGAGGTAGCGACCTTCTCCTAGGGCATCCTCGCGGACATGAACTCTACGGGTCTATAGCCATTGTCGTCGTCTTGCTGCAACACGGCGCCTATCCCATACTGACTCGCGTCCGCGGTGACGACAAATGGCAAAGACGGATCTGCAACTTTGAGGACAKGATATTCTATTAACGCGCGCTTTAGCTTCTTGAGCGCAGACGTACAGTCTTTGTCCCATTGCCAGATTGCCTCTTTCTTCAGCAACCTGCGCAAGGGAGCGACGATAGTAGAGAAGTTCCTTACGAACTTCCTATAGTAGTTAGCTAAGCCTAGGAACGACCCCAACTCTGTCAATGTGCGGGGCGTCGGCCAATCTCTGATCGCCGCGATCTTGCTGTCTTCTGGCTTAATGCCATCTCCGTCCAACACGTGGCCCAAGAATAAGACTTGCGTCTTGGCCCACTCGCACTTCTTCGCATTGATCTTGAAGTTAGCCTCTCTAAGCTTCTCCAAGACCTGCCTCAGATGACCCTGGTGCTCCTGGAGGGTCTTACTAA